TACATACATACATACATACATACATACATACATACATACATACATACATACATACATACATACATACATACATACATACATACATACACACACACATACATACATACATACATACATACATACATACATTACATGAATACATGCATACATACATATATACATACATACATACATGCATACATATATACATGCATTGCATACATTACATACATACATACATACATACATACATACATACATACATTACATACACACATACATACATACATACATACATACATACATACATACATACATTAACATTACATACATACATACATACATACATACATACATACATACATACATACATACATACATACATACATACATACATACATACATTACATTACATACATACATACATACATACATACATACATACATACATACATACATACATACATTACAATACATACATTACAATACATACATACATACATTACATACATTACATACATACATACATACATACATACATACATACATACATACATACATACATTACATACATTACGTACATACATACATACATACATTACATACATGCATTACATACATACATACATACGTACATACATGCACACATACATACATTACGTACATACATAACATACATACATACATACATACATACATACATACATACATACATACATACATGCATACATACATACATACATACGTGCATACATACATACATACATACATTACATTACATTACATTACATACATACATACATACATACGTACATACATGCACACATACATACATTACGTACATACATAACATACATACATACATACATACATACATACATACATACATACATACATACATGCATACATACATACATACATACGTGCATACATACATACATACATACATTACATTACATTACATTACATACATACATACATACATACGTACATACATGCACACATACATACATTACGTACATACATAACATACATACATACATAACAATTACATACATACATACATACATACATACATAACCTACCTACATACATCTACATACATACATACATACATAACATACATACATACATACATACATACATACATCATACAAGCGTACTACATACATTATATAGATACATGCTTGCATACATACATACATACATACATTCATACATACATACATACATACATTACATGCATGCATACATACATACATGTACATACATACATATACATACGTACATGCATACATATACGTACATACATACACATACATACATTACAGACATAGATACATACATACATACATACATACATACATACACACAACATACATGCATGCATACATACATACTAACATGCAAACATGCATACATACATGCATACATACATACATACGTACGTACATACATGCATGCATGCATACCTGCATACATACATACAGACTTACACGATTTTTTGTGCTGACATTTGTCCGTCTGAAGAGCTCCCTGACCGCAAACTGGGGTCGGCGGCACTGGGCGGCAGCCCTTAAATTTGCACGCTTCTTGGCCGCAGGATTTGCGTTGGCCTCGTTGCTCGATGCCGCGGCGGCAGATTTGCCGCCCGTGGAGGCATGGCTAAACTTGCATTTGTCACCTCTAGTGCACTTCCCTTGGGCAAAGAAAGAACACGGTGCTTTCTCTCCTTTATTGCCTTTGGGGGAACTTGGCCTGCCACGGGTCGCGGAGCGTCCTCGCGGCTCCTTGCGGTGCGCGTAAGGGCAGTTTGCCCCCCTCGTGCACGAGCCCTTCTGGAAGTCAAAGCAGTACTTTTCCTCGGTGTCCTTCGGCTTAGGTGCGCTCTTTTTCTTGGGGTCCCTCTTTTCAGGGGCGGCAGCACCAGCCTTGGGCGTCGGGGCTTTACTGGCATTGACTTTGGACACGCGCTCTCGGTTCTCGCGAAGCCTATCCCTCTCGATTAGATCCCTCATGCAACGCATTAGGAAATCGTACGATTTGTTGGGATCATCATCACGGCAACGATCATATGTGTCAATGTCGTACCGCAACAGATGGCAGCTTCTCACTTGGCGAAGCAAGATGTCTTTCAACACCTTTTCTTCCGGCGGCCTTTTCATGCCGGCGATCACGGAATCCCAAGCGTTTAGGAAACGTTTGAGATCAATGATTCCTTCGCCGTGTCGCGAGACACGCAACAGGTCCTCCAAGGAGTAGAGGTTTCCGGCTTCTTCACTGGTCTTGAAATATTGGTCAAACATAAACAAGACCTGCCTTCCTCTCATGGCCTTTCCCTCCTTGGCACATTCTTCCTTCGCTGTTAGGATTCGCTGAGCCAGATCGCCTTTCGCTGAACGCGTGAGCGCTGCGAGAATCTTCGTGTCTAGGGTCACGAATTTTCCCGGTTCGCCGAGCTCCTCCAACAGCTTCTTCTTGTCCTCGCGATCGGACCAGACTTCCATGATCCAAGGCCAAGCCTCGTCTGGACGGTCAGATGCAGCGCGGACATCCTCACGGACCGATGTCTTCCATTCACGGTACGTTTCAGGAGTTGGCATCTCCTTGAACCGCAACGTCTCGCTTTCGCGGGTTCTGGGCTTTTCATCGTTCGTGTGGCCTTTCACTAACTTCATCAACATTTTGGCGAATGCTTCTTGACCGAGGTTAGGCCCGAGGCCATCACCTTCGTCTTCATCACCATCGCCATCGCCATCATCATCAGGTGGCGTACCGCCAGGAGGCTTACCAACCTGCTTGCGGTCATTTGACATTGGCCCCTGAGAGAATTGCAGGGGCGGGACCGGTGCACTTGTTTTCACCGGGGATCGGCTGCTACCTGATGGCTTTTCAGCTGGTCCTTGCGGATCGCGAGCATCTGCGGGCAGTGCTTCGCATTCGGCAGTTGGAACCACGCCAGGGGTATATTCAACCCCGGAACCGTCATAGGTAACAAGCGACCTCAACTTTTCCTTTGCATATTGAAATGGATGGGACAACGGGTCCAACATTGACCTTTGGGACCGAGCTGACTTCATGTCGTCGGTCATCAACTCTGGTGAATCCTCTCGGGTATCACCTACCCCTTTGGGCTTCGATCCATCCTCGCGGAGGTCGTGTTGCTTCTGATACCTCTTCAGCTCATCGAGCTCGTCCTGCAGAAGCCCGTTTTGGTGGGCCATCATGTCAATCGTCCTGGCGTTTTTCGCTTCAACACGGGCTGTGTCATCGGCGTGCTTGGCAGCTTGCTCATGAAGGAGCTGCTGGGCTTCCGCCAGGGTGGATTCGATGGCTTGCCTAAACTCAGTTGTTTTGTGTCCCATTTCCGCTTCATGCAATGCTTGGGCATTTTCCTCACACACTTGGCTTATCCTAGCTTCAGCGAAGTTCACTTCTTGGATGAACTCATCGCTCACTCGCTGTTCGTATTCACGAATTCTATGCGACTGGGCTTGCACACATTCAGCGTAGTGTGCATGCAGCTGATTCTGTGCGACACGGAGCTCCTCACGGTTTTCCGCTTGCAAATGCGTGACAGCTGCTTGATGCAGGGCTTCGGCTTCAGACCTAATGGCTGCATCATTCCCAAAAGCAAAGATTGCGGTATTGTACAGTTGAAGGGAATTCATCAGGGTGCGGTTGTACTGCGCATTAGCGCTTGATGCGAACATTCGCACACCGCCGCCGGTGGCGTTGTCGGAGCTAGCTCCGGCAGCATCCACAAGCATGTTGGATCCATCAACTGGCACAAGGGAACCGTCCATTGCTTAGAGCTAGGGGCCTACGGCTGATAACCTATAGATTCAAGGGTTACCGGTTTGGGGCCCAAAAGGAAACAACAAACCGTCCAAGTGCGCTGCTCGCACATTTTCACGCTTGAACAGCCACACTGCGGATGCAATGGATGTAAAACCCCATATTGACCGATCAAATTCTTCAGATTCTTGGGGATGGCCCCTAAAGTGGTCTGTTCCGACCGGGCACCCCGAAAGTTTATCCAGCCCGGTGGATCCACCTTTCGGGGCCGACGAGTTTGCAGGGCCGACGTCTGTGTGGCAAAGCCTCAAGCTACGCCCCAAGAAATGAAGCGCTTCCCAAGTCAACACCCCGAACCCCGGATCAATCAACTCCCTGATGAGACTGGAGACCTGAGGAAACTTCATCACTGCAGGGAAGAAACTACTAATGGGAAGGGGCCCGGGGTCAACATGAAATCATGACAACACAAATGCCTCCAAAACGTGTTATACCTTGCAAAGGTGAAACCAACATCAGCCAAACACCTACCCAAACAACCAAAAATCATGGCATAAACAAACAAGGAACGGTTCATACAGTTTGCGAAAACACAGAACATCTCCCCCCACTGAAACTTCAAACACATTTTCGTGCTTTGTTCAAAACATAGCCCCACTCAATCCCACAAAGGGGAAGTACTTGAGGAGAAAACTGCTACCGGAATGACATGTGTTGCAGCTCCCTCTACACATTGAGTTTCACCCCTGAAGCCTCCAACAAACCTGCTATCCAATGCCAGATCTGGCTGGAACTGCTTGGTCAAACAATAAAAAATAACATTTGTCAGAGACACCAAACTACCCTTGGTCGGAAGGAAAGCCAAAGGAACACCACAAATTGTGTGGTTCCCCTTATTCCTCACTTCCGATCGAGTGGATTGGCCAAAGAAGTAACTGCACTTGGTCTTTGCCCTCAAAATGGTGACCCCAAAGTCAACGTTTGAAACCGGAACTTAGGGAGTTGCTCTGCGGGGACCCCCAAAATGGCTTCGGCTTTTCGACATACCCTGGTGTAACTACCATGTCCCGAACCAGAACTCCGATCGGTAGCTCCCAGAAGACTCCCTCTTTATATCGGCAAATTTGGATACCGCTAGCGCCGTGTCACGGCTCCCTTCCAACCACTAGCTAGGCAAAGTACCGTGCTCGCACTCGCCAAAGTCGGGCCTTGTTTGTGTGCGGCATACCGTCGAACTCGATGCCATAAGCTGCCAGCAGCCTGGCAGAAGGGGCGATCAGACTGGGTGGCCTTTCTTTCGTTCTTCAGGGATTTCGGACTTGTGCTGAAAACTTGGTTGCTGTTGACCCCTGCAAAAAGTTTAACTTTTTGGGGGCTTAGTGGAAACCCCTTGATTTCCCAAAAAGTTAAAGTCTAAAGATCGAACCCAATAGCAGTCAAGAAAAGAGGGGTTTCCGTTCGTGCTTCTCAGGGCTTTGCCCTGGTTTTCCCTGGAACTGGCACATGTTGCGCTTTTGGGTTCACCCAGTTGTACCAAGACGCTTGGTGAAACTGCTACCACATGAGGTCAATGCTGAAAAGATCCGCACGCGATGTCTGAATGCCGTCAAGAGTCCCCCAAAAGCCAAACCGACGACAAAAGGAGGGTCAGATTCTGGTCGATACTTGGCCACGCTAAACGACAAATATCAACGAAAATCCAAGTTTCCAGAGAACATCAAGCCCACCTAAGTATGGAGCGCCTTGGAGCAGTCACGAAGATTTGCCCAACCAAGTGCGAACATTTGCCAGGGCGATCCAGACAGGCTGAAAGCGGAACTTTGATTTCGTCCACTCTCAAATCTCCCTCAGGTCCTCCAGATTTGAGAGGCTTGAATCCAAGCCTAACCTTTGGAACCCACAAGGTGGAAAGGTCGATTCGCTGTGGACAAGAAGGTGTTGCACGCCGGCTGCCTCGGAGTGATCGGAGGAGATCCCCTCATCCATTCTTCACGAGAAAAACAAACAACAACTTCATCGGATATGTGGTGCAACGCATGTGGTATGAACATGTCTAGTTTAAACGACGAAAAAACCACATATCGCATTTCCGGGCAGGAATGCTGCCTTGGCCCAGTTTACACCGTGAGCAAGATGCGCAACTTGCACTCTCTGGCGCAGGATTGGCCCGAATTCGCCCCTTCCTTGGCCTACCACTTTCAGCCAAAACCTCGGACATGCAAACAGATCGCCCGCGAACTCCGAATTGAGTGGATGGGCCACCAGCTCTACCACTGACGCCCATCGAAAATGCACACAAGATCACAGGTTCAGACGATGCTTCATACCTAGTCCACCCTCAAGCTGAAAACCGTTTCGGAGACAGAAGTTGACTTCCAGTTGCTTCAGCCGCCTCGAAGGATGAGGACATGTCTCCAGCGATAGATTCCTTGGACCAACAAAGGAACAACCAAACACACACATGAAGCTTGACGTCCCAAAAAGTATGTCCTCACAGCCCGGGAGCTCATGCCGCGTGTTCGACCGGCGCCTGGGCAACTCCAGGTTGAGGCTCTCGAAGTGCAAGATGTGCTGCACGGAGCTCGGGTCCAGGTAGTCCTGCGGGTCTTGGGCTTTTCAGCCAGTTCGAAGCCAGAGAGCGCCATCCTGAACTTGAGGGTTGAGCCCGAGCTGTCCTTTTTTTTGGGTGGGGAAACCACAAGTGCGAAAAGGCTGGAAAGGCGAAAGGTGACAAACACACCGTGCTTTGTTGTTCCCTCAAAGTTGGCATGAACAAGCTCGGTGACGTGAAACAATGGACAAGTGGCACACACACACACACACACACACACGCCCACACAGGGTGGAAGCACAAGTGCTCAAGCATGAATCAACAGACAAAGGACACCCCAAAGAATTAAGAGCAGTGGATAGTCCAGCAACGCTCCACAAAGCAATGCAGCACTGTTGCGGCCGAGGTGCTTCCACTATCACCCTCAGGCTAAAAACAAGGAGGTGTTTAGCAATCCCAAAGCCCGGTTGAGCAGCACCCAAAACCATTGACGAGTGGTTCTACCAGAATGTTATATACTGGATTGTACAATGGAACCGCTAGCCAGGATTTAATTTCAAGCATCCACGCCGGGTCTGGGATGGCCGGGAGAACAGTTATAGCGCGGGTGTATCATTTAGCTAACTGTGACCCACATCCATCCGTACTCCAAAAGAAACATATGTTCAGATTCTGGTTCATACTTCCCAGCGGAAACTAGCAAACAACGGCACTTCGATAGTTGGGCAACCCCTCCCCCCCCAAAAAAAAGCAAAAAGGACGCGTCACCTACCCCAGGACTGAGCACGGCGGAGCGAGTCCCCGGTCCGACATGGGCTGGAAACTGCCCGGCTGCAGCGGGCGCCGCCCATCCAAAGACTTCTGCCTGGATCTTGGCGGCAGGTTTTAAGTACCGATCCCATTCTCAGTTGCCCCTTAGGGACCTGGAAATGAAAGGTGATCACCTTTTGGAGCCATGACTAAATATGGACCAAAATGGGAAAACCAAAAGGTCAAAAGGTCGGCTTTGAACAAATGAGCATTGCCCTTCTGCCCAAAGCAAGAAAAGTCACCCATGCTCTGACTTTGATAGACTCAAACAAACAAGACTTCACTGAGAAGGCCTCAAAGCGCAGTCGCCTTGATGGCCCTACGTTTTATGCTTGACTTGGGAGGACAGTAGGAAAAGCAAGGCGATGCCCTGATCTGAGGGTTTTTGTATTACACCCTGCGGTTACATTCTTGGGAAATGACCCAGAATGGTTCAAAATAACACGGTGTTGTCCGGACATGTGCGATCCGAAGACGAAAGCCAAGCTGCACGAAGAGGTTCAGGTCATGCTCAGTGTCCCTCTCCGGGCTTTTGGTCCCCGTCCAGGGGCAGTAGTACTCCGACATCACCCGGTCCACTGGGTGCCGCACCACCATGAACCAATCCTCAGCAACTGGAGGCGCAAAAACCAACTTGGAGTCCCAAAATCAACAAATCAACGACGAAAAGAGAGAACGCAGGTTGAATTTAGAACTGGGACTGTTGTGGGTCCAATGGAAAATCCACTGATTCCCCAAAAGTTGAAGTCCAAAGATCCAACCAAATAGCCTTAAAGAAAAGGGGCCAAAACAGGAAAGTGGGTCTTTGATTGGTTGACCTGCTGACGCACAAGTCCCAACTTCTTGGCAGACTAAATGATGAAGACTCCCCCCCCGCAACAAAACATCAGAGCCTGACAACCTTCCCTTTGTATTGAACAACCTTCGCTTTGGGGCTGACTTAGCCCCAAGGTGGCCCTCAGGTCCGTTGAAACTCTTGGCTTCCCACGCGACTCGCGACTCGATCCGTGGCACGGACCAAAATACGCCTCCCCCTCCTTCTGGGCACTGGGTGTTTGGGGTAACCCAAAAAGAGAAAGTGAAGACTGGGGAAAAGGACACCCAAAGATTCCCCAGTGTCACAACACGAAGCGAAGCCTTGCCGAAAAGGAGACATCTAGCACAAGTACGGGTGCATGCGTCTTAAAACAAACGGCCCACACTCTTGTGGCGTTCCTTGCGGGATTCCTTTTAGAACCCCAAAGAAGGCGTCCTGAAGATGAGGCACACTCCTATGCCTTGTTCATTTGAGATCTCTTGCGGTGTGCAGCCCAGGGGTCTGGTGAAACACTGTGAACCCCTTGATACCTTCCTGGTAGCCAGGGGCAAAGGTATCAACCACGATTCCTCAGCAACTCACTTCTTGAGTGGATTGGCCAAGAAAAGTAACCAATCTTTCGTTTACGGCTCCGCAAGCACAAAACCCAATCGTTTCCCAAAGGCGGGGAAGCCCTTCCCCAAGCAAATGGTGGGAACTCCGAAAGCAGCCACTCAACTGGTCCCAACCAGTGACTCAAGTCCGAAACGGAGCCGAAACGGACCTCTGCCGCCCATTGGCGCAGCGTACCCAACTGAGCCATGGAGACTCAAGAGGCCATAAGAAAAAAAATCCGAAAGTTGATTTTTCACCTGGGGAAAATGAGAACCAATTTCCAGTTTAAAACCAACATGAGGACATTTATTGTTTCCAGTGATAGATTCCCTAGACTAACACAGTGGAGTATGGACATATATTCATTTCAACAAATGGAAGAACCAGATGATGCGAGGCATCTGGGGGCCATGTTGATGGCATGTTGTCTGTTTGGACCCAAAGCTTTGGCAAATCACTGCTGAGTTCAAACGGGAATTCAGGGATTCACCGCAACCTTCATGTCATGGGGTGGTGAGCTGTACTGCCAAGGGTCCAGCCGTGTTGCCAACCCACATATCACACTTGCACTATGGGCTACCCCAATAACGGTTAGTAGGTCCTCCAGTAGAGAGGATAGAATAAGGGTACCTCTTTTTCTGTAGTCTTTTTTAGTAGGGGAACCCTCCCCCAAAAAGGGTTCAAGGGCACTACTGGGGAACCTAGGCTACATAATTGCGCCGAAGAGAGTCAAATTTGTGCCTTTTGCTCCTTGACATAGGAATAGTCCCCAAACCGGGATGAAAACACACTTCTGGTCGCTGGGATTGGCTAGCACTGCCCAGTGGCCATGGGAAACAATAACAGAAAACGAAGCCCACTCCAATGACACCTAAGAATCATTAACCGAGCCACCCCCCGAACTATCAAATGACTAGGTCTTCCAGTAGAGAGGTTAGAATCTGGGCACCATTTTTTCTGTAGTCTATTTTAGTGGGACATGCAAACATCACCCATACAACGGGTCTCCCCCCCATTTGGGTGCGTCGGTTTCAGGGAACCCCAACAACTTGTGGTTGTCCTGTTTTGGTTTCCCTTCAAACAGGAGTTCCCTCAAAACCCGCACCTCCCCCCATTTGTTTGCACTGGGGGTAGCGGTTTGGGGGTGGACCATCCAGGTACCTAGTCTAGTTGTTTTGTGTTTTTTTTTTTGGGGGGGGGGTTAGGTACACTCTCGACACTTTCTGCTCTTAGCACAACATGGGAGGGTACCGTTTCGCCTAGACATGCCTAGACGCCACATGCACAAAACCATGGTACTCGCAGTGTTTTCTGAGCTTTGCAGGGCTAAAACCACATTCCAGGGAGCACCCCTTCTGCTGAAAAACCTAGCTGAAACCCGCCGCGAACATGTCCTTTCCCTTCCGTGGCTCGTACTGCTCTCGCAGTTTGGCTGGAAGAAGAGGAAAGGGATGGTGCCAAGGACTGCCGGCCCGGCCCACAGCGGCGTACTGCTTGTGGAACCTCTCGATCCGACCGCGGCTGGGCCGGGTGAATTGGCCCATGACAACACCGCTGGCCGGGTTCCGGGAAAGTGAAGCCAAGTAAAAACCAGAATGGTGTAACATGGAAGTCGGCTTTCCTTCGAAAAGGGTGGAGCCCGGTTTGGAGTGGGAGGGGTGGTTTTCCAAGTATCCTCCACAAGAAGGGGTTCAACCCCCCCAAGCCAATCCAACCACCAACTCAGTCCTGATAGAAACATATACATATATATCTGTATGTATATATATATATATATATGTAAATGTATGTATGCTTGAAGTTGGCCGAGCTTGGCTGTGGGGAGCCCACAACCCCGACCCTTTCGACTGTTCGTTGGTTCATCCCCCCGGCCTGCCCCAGAAGATGCCCTTGCTCTTTGCCCAGTCTTCGATGGCGGTGCCCCCTGTCTTGGTGATGTGGATGAACATCAGCCTCCAGCGGCACGAAGACCAGAAGTGGTCGTTGTTTGTTTGTGTTTTGGCTTGTTGAAGGGCTAGGTCCTCCAGTAGAGAGGTTAGAATAAGAGCATCCTTTTTTCCTGTAGTCTACTAAATTAGTAGGGGAACCCTCCCCCAAAAAAGGGTAAAAGGGCACTACTGGGGGACCTAGAAGGGACAATCAAAGGATGCCACTGCCACTATTTTGGGGGTTACAATCCCAAGTTTGAAGCTCAGCTCCTGCTGCAGACCCGAGAAGTAGACAATCCATGGGGCGGCCTTTTTCCTGACAATTTTTCATCAGGAAACACCTAAGCAGAAAAGGATTTAGAGTGTGCCACTAAAGGACTGGCACCCGGCAAAGCTCACAAGACGTGTTGGGCCTTCACGAGAGGCATCCGGATGCCACACCCTTGCCCCGGTACCTTGATTCGCAAGAAATGATCTACCCGTCTACAAATTACCATGCGGTCCCCCAAAAGGATGTTCTTCTTATAACAGTGGTGGGCTTTTGGGTTCCATGCCAAAGGTCAATCTCAGTTTCTGATTGATCCGAGGACCGTGCTGACCATGGGTTCCCTTTTAGCAAGCAATTGATGGATTTTGGGGCTCCTCTCAGTAGGGCCCTCGGACTAGTCCGAGGTTGACATTTGGGGAGAAACCTTGAGGGCGGGTGGCAGGGAAAAGGCGAATGCCCCAACCCCGGCCACAAATACTCCTGCCAACTCTTCTAGGTCCTCCAGTAGCGAGCTTAGAATAAGGGTACCAAGCTTTTTCTGTCCCTTCTTTTTGTAGAGAAACCCTCCCAACCAAAAAAGGGGTGAGAGGTCGGGCACGAATTGCTGGGGGACCTAGTCTTCCAAGCCGCTTCCTCCGCAGCAGTGGGGGTAGCGCGGCGATCGCCGCCAGCTTGCTCGGCATCGCGGGCTCCGCCGCTGGCGCTGGCGCCGCGGTTGCAGCCGTCTCAGCCACAGGAGTCGTCGTAGGCACAGCAGGCTCAGGCACAGCAGGCGCGGAAGGCGCAGCAGGCTCGGAAGGCTCAGCAGGCACCACCTGCTCACTGGCTACTACGCAACATTATTGGGCATCAACAGTTGCCGTGCTGTAAACAGTGTTTCTTTTGATCAGCAGCTAGGGTCTCAAATTACCAACTGTGCAGCCAATGTGTGAACTGCAAAAACATGTTTTCACATTCACAACAGCTTACTTTAAATCAATAAGGCACGTGGGAATCAAGTGCTATATTGGAGATGGCCCCTTGGTAAATGGGGCATAAAACCAATCTAAATCAGTGGACCCCATCTACTTCAAACCAACACTATGGCAAAGACCCTCAGAAAGTGATCGTCCCTTCTTATTCTCAACCCTTCCATTTGCGCAAGCCCCCTGACAAAGAATAACCACATATTTCCAATTGTGGTAGATTCCCGGAAACAAATATATATAAATAAAACAACAACCGGATAAAATACAAAACATATTCGATTTGCAAATGGAAGACTCGCGTGTTTCCTTTTTTGGGGGTACTCCTTTTGGCGGCTTCTAAAGGAAGCCGCCAGAAAATCGTGGCCATGGGGACCCGGAAACGGCGATATACCGCTTCTGACACCGGGACCTGGGAGCGATTCTCCAAGTCGGACTCCTTGCGCGAGGCCTAGCGCGATGCGTACGTCGAAAAGCTGGCGACAAGCTTCTATTTGCGTTTTCGCCCCCTGGAGAAAAATAAAATTCCAGTAGTGATCGATTCCTTTTAAAACCAACAGGGGGAAAAACTTAAACAAATGGAAGCAAGCGTTCGCCTGCGTCCATTTGCTTTTTTCGCCTCGAGAAAAAAGGGAGAAAACCTATGTCCGGCAGCGATTTATGGATTTTCTTGAAACCAACAAGACTTGCTGGTGCGAGAGGTTGGGCATGACAAAGAGTCCGGGTATTTGGGAATGAACCGGAAGGGGATTCCCCTCAAAGGACGCTGTAGGATGGACGAGAGCTGCAGCGTTTGCCTGTCATCCCTTGTCCTGCTGACAATCCTTAGAACTGTCGGCAACACGGGTTGGGTTCAAAATCAGCAACCCAAAATGGTTGATGTTCAGTTTGAGTTCAGCACCAAAGCATACCAACGCCATCCTCCCAAAACGCAGTGAAATGAGAAGCCCGGATGAATAAACCCCTGGTTGATGAGGGCGCGCTGTCCCTTTAATGGGAATTCAGGGAGCCCGCCCCGAGGCGGACGTGTTGCGTCCGGGTTCAGCATAACCGTCCCCACAGGTCCCCCAAAAGGCGCGCCTCGCGGTCTGCCACAGCACTTGCAAGGTCCTGGCAGGGTTGTTTGGAATGAGAAAGCGGGGACATCATCTTGACCCGGAAAAATCAGCGCGTCCTGGGTCAAAACTGGACTGACCCCCCCCCGAATCCGCATGCGTTCCATTGCAACGCACAGGGCTATACGCACACTTCACATCCCGGGAGTGAGACCCTTACCAGGGGTGCTTCAAACACCTTGTCCAGGCGTCTTTTTTCAAAGGCAAAGAGGTGACCCAACTTTTCCGACTCGTTGAGGTGGTAATCTGACCATTAGTCTTAGTTTCCCGTTGCAACCCTGATTGATTTCTGCGCTCTCGGGGAAAAAACCAACTTCCAGGTGCCGCGTTCTTTACACTTCGCCCATTTCGCAACCCAAGCTGTGACTAGAGGGCTCTCCTTTCGAAGCTTCACGACCCATTTCGGGGGGTCCAAAGCCTTGGAACAGCTCGACCATCAGACCGGACGAACACTTTTGGAGCCCGAAAAAAAAAAAAAGTGTGCATGGTTACCATCGTCTGTTTTTTGTTAGCGCTTGAGTTCGCTCAGGCCATTCCTATGGCCGCTACGCGCCAGGCCTCTTTGCACCTTAAAGGTACCCCCAAGCCGAAGCTACTCCCAAAAACCACTACTGTGGATGGACGAAATCCGAGACCGCACCACAAGGGAAATGGACGAAACCATTGTAGGATAGATAGGATTTCTCAAAATCTTCGACCCTATGCTCTTCTGTGGGTTTTTCGTGGTCTGGCCACCCGCGGCAACACCTGAGGCGCGAGCTGCTTGTGTACTTCGCAGCTGCTCCTGCGGATTGATGCCTCTCTGATTCCCCGTTCTCTTCACCCATCATGCGGAGGAACCAACCTATGTTTTCTTTGTTGGGCTTGCGCTCTCTGCAGCCTCACGTCCAAGGGCAATCCAGCTCGGGCAGGGCATGCCGCTCCCCAAGCCGATTCACTACCAACAAACAAACACAAGAAGGCCGTGGAAAGGGGGGGGGAATGCAATACAGCTAGGTGAATTCATGGGGGTTAACAGCATGGATTCCTCCCATGCGGATTGCATCAAAGCAAAACACACCTGGATTCTCTTTCTCCAAATTCCTAGGGAACCAACTGCATGGTGTAGCTCTGCGATTGGTGAGATGCCAATCGCAAAGCTTCAGCTAATGGAAGACCTTGAAAAGAAAAGTAGACCCAACCAGCCAGAAGTAACCCAACCAGCAAGAAGTAACCCAACCAGCAAGAAGCAACCCAACCAGCAAGAAGCAACCCAACCAGCAAGAAGTTGCAACCAGCAAAAGTAGACCCAATCTACAAAGGTCAAAAGGTACCCCTTGGATTCAACGGGAAGGAACCAACGAACCAACGGCCGTTTGGCGAAAAAAAATATACGGCCGCTCCATTGGCTGTGGCTCCAAAAACGGGGACCCAACCTGGAATTTTGGGTGGAAACATGGACCGAAACCTGCGCTTTGCCCCAGCTGCTTCATGATTAGACTTAGGCCCAGTTATAAAATGTATATTTTCTTGTTTGCTTGACTTTGAGTCACTGGTGAAATGTAAACTGTATCCTAAGTCTAGTGATTTTGAGCCACACCCAAATGGACGATTCACAGCTTGCCGTCAAACTTCACCCCTCGATCCACAAATCATTGCCTCCAGTTGCGTGACGCGTGCCCGCAATGCCTGCGCAAAGGATCATGCTCGGGTTTTGTTGGTTTTCCCCCTGGTCCGTGCTGAGGCCCCCCAAAGGTTGATAGAGATGGAGTCACTGCAGGAGTCCCTTGGAATCAGAGCGAATCAGAGCGAATACCATCCATTTTTTCCGGGCAGGTCCCCTGAGGACTTTGTTGAGTTTGAGAAGCAACCTCAGAGCTTGAGCTTTGAGCATGCTGGGCTGCCCTCAGATCCCCTGCTAACAGTTTAACCTGTAGTGGGCTAAATTCGGAAACCACGACTGAACCAATAAATACCTCAAGTGCTAAGGAACCAAACGGCTGGGAACCACCCAGCCTATTTAGACCTCTTTTCCTGTCGGGTGTCAACCCCAAATCCATGACCTCCAGAGGCTAACCTTGGGCCAGGCCAACAAGTTTTGACAAAAACCGGAGAATCGATCCCAGCTTTTTTGGGTTTACTGGTTGCATGTTTGGGGGGGTCCTGAGCAATGGAAGAAAACGCATGCACATCTCGGCGCAAAGTTGGACGGCAACCTGTGGGTCATGATTTTGACGGTTTCTGGGGTTTATCCAAGTCAGACTGGTTCTTGTTTGACCTACATGGTTTGAGGCAAGCTGAGTCAAAGACTCTGTGGTACTTCTCTTTCCTCGCGGAGGCAACCCGTTCGGAGGCTCCAAGAAAGAGGAGCTCCAATCTCAGCCCAACCTGAGATTAGGAAGCGGGCTAGCTGGGGCCCACTGTAAAGAGGTCGCAAAACGGGGATGCCCTTTATGTAGGAGTGGTTGCCATTTGCCAGCTGCTGCCTTTTGCAGCAGCACGTTTTGTGGAAACTATTCGCCGGTCGCGATCCCAGGATAGTTCCGTTCGGGTGCATGCCGTGCATATCGATCCGGGCCACCTGTGATTCTCTGGCATCCTGATCGCGTGCCGCCTGCGCAAAGGGAAACCACCACCAGCCCCTTTTCTCAGCTCGAGGGAATCTACGGCCTCTACTTCCCCCTACCGGAAACCTCGTACAATACTTCCATTTGCTTAAGCCCCCTGGAAAAATTGACAGTATTTCCAGTAGTGATCGTAGTGATCGATTCCCTTTAAAACCAACAAGGGAAAATAATAAACAACCTATTCCTAAGCAAATAAAAATACAATATACAGTGCGGCTAGCGGTTGTATACGCCAAGGGCGGTGGTTTGCGGGGTCGCAGGCTATGTCAAGAATCTACACAACTGAACTTGGAACGACTCACCCCCTTTTGTAGACATGGTTACTTTCCTTCTTGGGCCCCGACGAGGGCTTCTGTTGGCAACAACTTCCAACAGAGAACCTGAGTTAGGCCACGTCATCTTCAGTTGGGATAGTTGATTTAATCACCTGGCGATGGGGGTGTGTTGCGCATGAGGAATTTTAGGGGTTGTGTAGGTGCTGTGGAAATCTGGGATCATTGAAAAGCAAGTCGGACATTCACATTTACTCACATGCGGGTGTGACCTGTCATTTTTGATGTTCGAAGGTCCCTTTGTAGGTCCTCCAGTAGAAAGGTTAGAATCTGGGTACCCTTTTTTCTGTCGTCTATTTAGGGGAACCCTCCATAACCCTCCCAACCAAAAAAGGGATGAGAAAGGGGCACTACTAGCTTGGTTGGCCTAGGGCCGTTGCCATTGTAGGGTCCCACACATTTGAGTCACGATGTCAATGTGAGTCCTCCCTTTCGGCGCCCCTCCCGCAGCCGGGCAGCACATCTGCCATCAAATGACCCAGCTTCCATTGTTCGTCTAGTCTTGGCATGTTTTTCTCTTTTGTTTCCCCTCCATTTATATAGTGGTTGGATTTCAACCACTAAACCACAATAAGCAAACATGTAAAATGTTTCCCAACAACAACCATGTAGTGACACAGGAGGAGTGCATCACATGTGCATGCTGGGCAACAGCAAGAAAACCAACACGCCGTGTGGCCTGGAGTCTGGCAGTTGCCGGCGGCAGCAGCGATAAGTCCAAGGCATCTGTGCCTGGCCAAAGAAGGCACCTGAGCGCAAAATTGAAACTGTCCGGGTTCTAAATTGGGGGGGTCTGAAAACAATCAACAAAGATCTATGAATCCAGAATGGAATTGCAAGGAATACAACTATATATATACATATAATAGGGGGGCATGAAAAAGACACACTTATCCCTTTTCCAAGCATGTTGGGGTCCCATGTCTAAATGCGCTGCGAGCACCTCAACATGTGGCTGTTTCGGCGCGTTGAGGTTTCCCTTTCGATGCTTGCAAGGATTGGTCTAGTTTCTCGCCCATGGTTTGCGCCAAAGTACAGATATGCCTTGTTGTTTGGGAGGGGGGGCCATAAGTTGTGTTTCTCCTTCTCGGTTCCCACAAACGAGGGGTACGAGCTTAAAAAAGAGACGGGCCATCCATATGTGTACATGTCCGAATGGGAAGTACAACTAGAACAGCTATCCAGAAGCCTGAGGGGTGGCTCCCAATGGCAATGTGGCACATCGCCAAGCCCTCCTCCGCTTGCCGACTGAACTGGATGGAGTCTGAACTGACCCATTCATGATTTCCCTGCGATCTTTCCAACAGCTTCACAGAAGTCACTGGATTCCCCAAATCAAAAGTTGATCAGCCGAGTAATTAGTGTCCATTGCCAAACCCAGCAAAAGGGCAAAAGGGCCAAACGGTTGCTTGAATGGCTGTCGAAACATGGTACCCAACATGTCAGCTACACAGAAAAAAGAGAACAAAAAGAAAAAGAAAACACTGTACCCCCAAGCTTTTCGATTTGAGCCGCACACAACTGGCCTCAACTCTACCATTGTCAACCCCCCAAGTGGTGGGTTAAAGGGAAACCACCAATTCCGGTTTCTGACTTTGATAACCCTTATTCAAATGCCCAGTGGCCATGGGAAAAAAAGGCGCCAGGGCAGCCGAGGCGCGCGGCCATCGTTGCCAGCGCCCCCAAGGCGAGAATCAACGGCCATCGCGACATGGCGGACCATCAGATCGATTGCTCCCCGCGGGTCGCAAGGCCACTGGGTCGCGGTTTTGGCCAAGCTGGAGTGGATTCTTGGTTGACGTTGGGTTTGGGGAGCAAGAATTGAGAGATTTTGGCAGTTAAGTGGTTGGATTTCAACCACGAAAAACCGCAATAAGCAAAAACGTATTTGTTCCCAACAACAAGCATGGATTAGCCAAGTGGCTCGCTGAAAAAATATTTGAGTAGCAAAAAGAAGTCGACACTTGTTGTTTACCACTCAAACTGAAAGTAAACGAATGGAGCCAGTAGATGATTGTGAAAATACCCAAGGGACACACATGTGGACCCTTGCACTTTCCAATGCCTGCTCAGTCGCGTTTCGACTCCCTGCTTACTAGCAAGTGGGAGCACAACCACGCCTTTGGATGTTTTGCCAGTCCGCTGACAAGGTTCCCATGTGTTTCAACAATGAGGTGGGTCAATCCTAGTCTGAGGGGCGAGCGGGCAAGTTCATATCATCCAAAGGCCCTCAATCCTAGGCACTGGTTGCAAGCTTGCGAGATTTAGGTCGACTGATCTAAGATGCTTGGGGGGTTGAAACTCTAAGGGACCATTCGCCGATGTTTTTGCGTGCAGGTCCAAGCTTTAGCGTCAGAATGTGAGCGAGCCGTCCAAAAGCAACGGTAAGCACGTCATTCAAATTCACCGCCCGAACATCTTCCTCCCGCGAACATGGCAGCGTTGCTGGGGGACTCATATGGGCCACTGCTGAAACGGGGTGTCATACTGCGGATGGACGAATCCTTCGCACCACCGTTCAGAAACCCTGGAATCATGATTCCTCTGTAAAAACCAACAAAAAGGGTTGCCCGAATGATTCAGGTCCAAAACTAGGTCCTCCAGTAGAGAGGTTAGAACAAGGGTACCAACTTTTTTCAGAAAAGTCTATTTTAGTATGGGAACCCTCCCTCCCAACAAAAAAGGGGTAAAAGAGGTGGCACCAAGCTGGGGGAACCTAGGAAATGCACTGGGTTCAGCATGATCAAAGTCACCCCCGGTTCACTGGTAGGAAAAAGGTTCTCAACCCCAAAAAAAGGGTAAGAAAGAGCGGGCACCTAGCTGGGGGAACAAGTTAAAACCCGCATTTGCCTCGATGAAACCGCCCGCCGACCGCGCCTGGGTGCTCCGTCCCCCAGCAGCTGCCCCCTGACGCGGCTCTTGAGGCCATCCGCCCCCACCACGAAGTCGCAGCGTACCTCGAGAGCCACAACTTTGATTGTGTCAAAATCGGGGGACCTCCCCCCCCCCCAAAAAAAAAGAGCTTGGTTTCCGGTGGGTCTTGAAAAACAAGAAGCCCGCAAAAAAAAGACACGCGTTTCTGGTGGGCCCTCTTGGTTCCAAGGTGCCCGCAACAACAACTCGCGTGCTATGTGTAGGCTTGTACATTTAAGAAACCAACAGTTAAATTCAAAAATGGCCAGCAGGGGCTTTGGGGCTCTTGTCCAAATGTGTGTGTGTGTGTGTGTGTGTGTGTGTCGTGGTCTGTGTCTGTGTCTGTGTCTGTGTCTGTGCGTGTGCGTGTGGGGTGTGGGGTGTGGGGTGTGGGGTGTGGTGTGGTGTGGGTGTGTGTGCGTGTGGGCAAGTGGGTGGGGGTTTTTGGAGGCGTTGAAGGCAAACCAAAGTAAACCACCCAAACATTTACCCTTCATATCTTTTCATAATTGGCACCATTGTCAAAACTCCGAATCTTGCGGTGGTCATGGTTCTGCGAAGAATCCTTAGTGAGTAGGTTATAACCATGGTTATGATTGGTGTAACTGGGGTTGCTCCCCTCAAAACCATGATTATAACCTACAAACTAAGTTGGTTGAACATCCAAAGATGCATGACTGCCAGCGGGCCCTCTTGCCTCCTGGCGGACGGCAACAGGTTTGGCACAACCTCTGGGAGTAAATAGGGGGGGGGGGGGGGGCGGGCGGCTGGCTGGGAAAACCACTGCAGAAAATATGCAGCCCGTTTCCTTTGGAACAAATTGCAACCAGTCGACATGTGTAGAGTCATTCTCACTCTCCCCGGCTCCTGCTCCTCCAAAAACCAGTGATTCTGCTTTTACATGGTGCTTGTTTCTAATGGTACATTGTCCCGAACCTCCTGGCCTTGAGTAATTCGTGGCTCGAGCTGGTTTTAGAGGAAACTCCTTTTGTGGATCCCTGTTTTGGTTCCATGCCTCACTGTGGGTATGCCAGAAAGAATCATTGCAATTATCTCCCTAAAAAGTTTACCACTAACATAAAGCCTGACTTTTCGGGGTCCTGGAAGACAATTCCGCTTTAATCTTGGTGAGTGCCATGTTGGTGGAGAGCAGAATAGTCCACGGGCCAGGCCTACGGGTTTGTCAGGGCACCGGTGGAAGCTTCTCCTTGGTGGTGCTGTTCTCAAAGTGAAGCACGACTTGACCATCCTGCGAAGTATCTCTCAGATGCCCAGTGGCCAGGGCGAAAAAAAGGACATCCACTCTATTTTTTCTCGTTGGTTGAGTTTCAAGGGAAGCCTTCCCCAAACAAAGGAGGCAAAAAGGGCACCACTGGGCAACTGGCATCTGCAAAGTCTACAGAAATCGGCCTGTGTTTTTAGGACAGGAAAGGGGGTTTCCACTCGCTTCTGAAGGGACAAGGAGACACCCCCCCCCAAGATAAAAATAACAATGGGAAGCGTAAGAATTCGACCCCCTAAAAAAAACGCACCGCGAGCGTGACAGGCTCGGCACCTCGTACTCACGGGTTTTGACCGATCGGTGAGGAGAACCCATGAAGGCCGAGTGTCTCCTTTCGAACCATCCTATGCTTCCGAAGGGCAAAATCACCGAAACCTGTCCGGAACTTGCCCAGAACCTTGGCGACTTGACTCATTCGGTGGGAAGATGATTTCTAGCTGGTTCTTTCATGGATTTCGCCCTTAATGGCATTGGTTTTGTTAGCCGGTTTTGGAACGCCAAAGAACCAGCTAGGAAGCCAAAAAGGCAATCAAAACGCTGGCCCAACCCCCAACAAACATAACACGACAACAAGAAAGCCATTAGCCCAGTCAGGTCAAGCAACCACGTGGAAGACCGCTAAGTTTTGGAACCTTTCGGACTCCCGAACTTTCCGGAACCAACTCTCCAGCAGAAAACAACAAACACCTGTAACGCTTCCTAGCACCCCCTCCCCAAAGACGCACACATCCACATCATGGAACCTTCGGAAAGATTCCGGCACGCAGAACCAACTCTCCAGCAATCTCTCCGAAATCGGAAGGAAAACAAACTCGCCAGCCACTGCCCCATGCAAGTTCATGTTGGTCCACCTCCCGAAACAAAAATGGTTGCCTTAAAATAGCCCACCCCCCCCTCAAAAAAATAACTAAAACAAAAAGTGGTTTTCCTGTTGGTTTCCCTTTAAAGCTGCTCCAAAAGGGGGTACCTTGAAGGAAAGGCCAAGGGGTCACAGCCAGGTTTGGCGCACATCCAGCTGCTCGGCGTCCGCTCCGCTCCTCGGCTCGCTCCAGCTGCAAAAAGCGGCTGCTGAGCACTAGCCGCTCCTGGAGCAAAGGCGTCGGCTGCCTTTCGCTTGTTCAAATCCCAAACCACCAATAAGGGTAAGATTCAGAGGCCATGGTTTTTTGTTTACTTAATATTTTTCTGTTCCTTTTTTTTGGGGGGGGGACCTCCCTCCAAAAAAGAAAGGACGCACCTAGGCACCACCGGCCATTAAAATGGTCCGGAGCTTTGCGGGGCACGGGTAACCAAAGGGGAACAAAAACAAGGCACTCCCCTCCAAAGAAACCCAACAAACATGGGCACGGAGCTCTGCGAGGCGATGGATGGAAACCCTTGGAAGGATAAACCACCTGCCAACTCTCCGTTGCGTTTTAGGGACCTGCAAATAAAGGGTGAGCCCCTCGTGGGGCCTGAAAACTGAAAATGGATGCCCCTATTGGGACCTGAAAGGTAAAAATGGATGCCAAAAGGGGGAAACTGAAGGGTCGCACGCGGAAGCGATTCGTTTTGGGCCAGTGAAAGCGAACACCTCGATGCCTGGCTGGCTCGAGGACCCTTGGCCGAAGGAACCTTTGAAGTCGGAAGGCCGAAGGTTCTCCGAGGCCCGGAGCTTCTCTAGCAGGGCAAAAATGGTGTCGTCTTGGGGGGGGAGCCCTCTTTGGGTCGGCTTCAAAGGGACCCCACAAGGGAAAACCACCATTTTGGGGGGTCCCTTGAAAACTGACACACCTCGGGAGCCCTGTTCCCAAAAGCCGGCTGCGAGCCTCGCCCAGTAGGCGTCGGCACTCCGTGACCAGCACATTGTGGAACTTTGCCTCAGCTTACTTTGGAGTGTTTTAGGGGCCTAAGGGGGCGGGGCTCCCCGGAGGTCGGGGGATGGTGTTTGAGGGGTGGTCCGGGGATGGGATTCTTGCTGAGATTTTCTTAGGAAAATCTAAGGAACCGTTGAGGAACTCGAAAGCTCGCAAGGGTTGGGCCAAAAAGGGGGGATCCCCTTTGACTCTCTTAGGGAACCTGAGCTGGAAGCCCAAGGAGGTTGATGGAACCCGCCAAGCTCTCAACTACCCATTTCGAGATTCCTGGTCCAAGCCCAACATGTGGTGAAAGTGGTCACCAGGACCTAGGATCCAGCCTGGGCCCAACGGGCAAAAGCGTCAAAAGGTCAGACTGGGTCCGATTGACCCCCACGTAGCAGGGGTTTTGAGGCAAGGTTTCCTGCTCGGAGTTGGTTTACAGGGATACCCTTTCCCAGTGGATGCATTTGCCTGTAAATGTGGGAACCACTATTGAATCCTTACATACCAAAGGGAATATACCTACTACAAGGGTAACTGGGATCCACTAGAAAGGGGGACAAACCCCCTTTGGCAGGGGCAGCCGCGATTTCCCTAAATCAGCGGTTGATCAATTCACTGGAAATTGTCCCAAACTCCTGGTAGCTCCCAAAGGCTCCTTATTTCAAGGCCCACCAGCT